TTTAGTTTGCCCTGGCAAGGCCAGATCCTCAGCTTCTGTAAAGCAGCACGGCTACACTAACTTCAGTGGGGCTGATGTGATTGATACTTGTCCTCTGGCCTCTCGGGAGCTTCTCTGCTTTTTTTCACTTCACCATCTGATTCCCATTTAATCACATTACATCACGATTGATCTCTCAAATGTCTGTATATTGGTCATAAGATCTTCATGAATATGATGACAAGGAAAGCTATTTCAAACGGTATCAATGGGCAAATTTGTATACCTTTGAGGTCTTTTCCTGATGTTACAACATAGATATACACGTGTTCTGGTCCAAAAGCCCTTGTAGGTCCTTTATGATATTCTTGTTCCTCATCTAGTGTCTCCCACATTCCTGTAGATCTTACCTGGCCTTACTTAGCTATTCACCTTCTAGATCACAGTGGACTTGAACCCCAGCACAAACAGCACAGACAACATGTCATCTATAAAATGAGCACCGTTACAGGGAGTGTTTGTGAGGACAAGTTGCAGGAACAAGGGTACAGCATTATTATGCATGTTTGCATGGATGTTAGTTTGGTATGTTTTTTTGACAGTGTGTAACCATTATCAGAATGCAGTGATCACTCTCTTGAAAAGGATACTTGAAAAATTCAGAACTATTCATAAAAAATTGAAAGAACGGCTCAAGATGCAGAAAGTTTCCCCATCTCTGAATTTTGTCTGTCATATCCCAGGGATGTCAGATCCATTAGTTGTTGCCATACTAACTTCAACTAATATTTGCAGTAACAGAGAAGACTTGTCAGCTGTGTGGGAAGAAGGGGTCACAGAGACAGTGTAAATCTACCTTAGAGGAGCACAATCATATTACGTTATGTGCATCTTACCAAGAGTAAAGCAACTTTCCTTCCTGGTCTCTTGCTGAGACACAAAAATGATTTACATCTCCCCACCACTATAAATTTTAGCATACGTTACGCTCCATCCTACAGTTACAAACAACCCTGGGGCAGGTTAGCTCTGGATCATGAGCCCCTCATACATCTGAGCCCTTCCTGAACTTCACACTGGTCATTAGTATGTAGGAGGGCTGTCACTTTGCTGAACACAGCATGGCCACAACCTCTTCAAATGTCTAATCAGTGTCTTGAGATTTCTGGATCCATACCAACCATTGGCTTCATCCATACTACAGCTGGGAGAACAGGCGGTTATGCCCTTCACTAAGTTTAATTCATCTGGCACAGCGAGTGGCAGCATGAAGATATGCTCATGGCTGCCCAAGCTACCCTGGTTTCATGCCAGGGTACCCAGCCAGCCCTGGAGCCTGTGTCCCTGCCTCTTCCTAGCCCATGTTGGCCAGCATGGGCACATCCACTGTACTGAAGTCACATCTTCATTTGCTGAGTAAACACACCATCAGAGCTAAGGAAGATGAATTCTTCAGTGAGCAAAGGTCATCGCTTTTATTTTTAAGAACTCCCAAGTTAAATCCTTGCAGGTGGTGAATCGCCACAACTGCCTCTCCCAAACAGCCAAGGTAGGGCATGAGGCTCTGAACAAAACACAAAACGCCGAAGTGGGGGCTGCTGCCTCCCCATGGGATTTGGTGCTACAGCCCAGAGGTGCTTTTGCTTTTCTCCTTTTCAAGAGCATTGAAAACACTGGACTCTTGGTCCAGTGTTGCAGTCCTGTGTGTCAGGCTAGCCACAGACACCTTGCATCTTCTTTACCTGTTAGTAAATGATTCCCAGCTTGGATCAAAGCTGACTGAAATAAAGGGATGAGTTATCCCATTGACTTGCATGTGCTGTGAGCCAGGAGGAATTTCTCTCTGTAATCTGGGGCACAAAACAGTCTCTTGAGAAAGAAACTCCCAGTTAGATACTCCCCTTGCTGACAAGTCCTGAAGGCTCAGGGAAATAATGAACTCTAAAAGCTTTGTGTGGGAGGGAAAAAGGCTGCATTTAAATGCCTGTTGTTCCAAACCCTTTAAATAAAGCATTTGCCCAGTTTTAATATTTAATCTTAAAGGTGAACGGTGATTTTCAGCATATATTACCTACACCGAATGGCTTACTTTTGACAGGCAGAGTATGGCCCTGAAGAGAGGCAAGATATCCTCACATGGGGTAAGGGGAGGAGCTCCCCAGTGAGCTGTGAGGTCCCACTCAGTTTCTAGCACTAGCATAAAGACAGCAGCTGTCCTAGGACATCACGTTCATCATCCATATGATGTGATACTTATGACATGCTTTCTCTCTGAGGAAGTGATCAACCCCACCACAATTTAATCCAGTTGAAAGGTCTAAGTCAAGAACTGGGTCCAGGGAAAGGTGTTTAATTGTGAGAAGGATTTTATCCTGGACCAAATCAAAATCAGTAGAAGTATCAGGTTTCCTTCAAGAAAGGCAAACCTGCACTCTCAGGGCCGAGAAGCCAGAGCAATAGCTTCTTCAGAGGGTTTTGTCATTGTGGGCAGGATGCAGACTCAGGTATAGATTGGAGAGTGGACAGTTTCCATGCATGCCCGCCTAAGACAAGGAAGAAAGAAAAGGACCACAGTTGAATAGGTACAGCTCCACATATCAACAGAGAGGCAGTCATTGCTAATTGCCAGCATGTCAGGGGAGGAAACAGCATGCCCAAGTCCAGCCTCAGCTTTTACACTGTCTTTCTGCATGGCCTGCAGATTGAGCAATGCCAGCACGGACACCTTGGAAGAAATGTTCACCCATACTGCTGTAACGCCCCAGGACATCAGCTAGGTGCTCTGCATCAGTCTGTGAGCCCCAGCAGCCCAGTTTGGGGCCTGGTGTCTCATCCTATACCATGCCTCCCTGGGAAGCTGATTTGTGGTTTCTGACAGGTATGACCTTCTGCTCCAGCTAGGCTAACCTAGGGCAGAGAAAGGAAATGCTATGAGTGTATCTCCTGAGCAGCAAAGATAATTTCTTTTTCTAGCTCAATAAGCAGATGGGTACCACCAAGAAAGGGCAGTTGCCTTTGGGGCTGGCACAGTAGATCATCTCCTTTCCTTCAGACTGCAAGACCATAATTCTCTTAGAGACTCGCTCCCTCTAACATGTCTCCTTTCTCACCTTGCTCAGGATGTACCTTCTGGGTGACAGCACATGGTCTGTTTGGGGGGTCCAAGTTATTAAGATCCTTTCTCCCAGGGGAGCACAGGAACTGCTATATCACTCAGCCTTTCATAACCATTCCGTTTTCTTCTGTAGCAATATGCTCAACAGCCTGTTTTTAGAGGAAAACAGGTTTGAACAAAGGTTAAAAAGAATAGACTTTGGTCGCTCCCTTCTTCAAGATGGGAGGAGTAAGTGGAAAACAGACTTTATATGTTGCAAACATTTCCTCCAGTTTCCTGAAACATCTACACTTGAAAAATACAGGGTTACATCCCTGCTATGCCTTCCACTGATCTCCAGAGGCTTTAAGGAATTGTTCTCTTGCCCCTTTTCAAGGGGTGCATATCCTTACAGTAATGCAGTGCTTTCCCATTTCACATGCACACTGTGGGACCTGCCAAAAGTCCCACCTGCCAAAGCAATTCAACCAGCCGTCTTCCAGCCTAAGACTACAATCCCACCTGTTTCTTCCTGTGACCACCCTGATGACCCAGTAATACCCATAATCAGTAGGAGCCTCCAAGACTCAGCCAACCAACTGAGTTTCTCCCCTCCAAGTTTGGTCTTACCATTCCTCTTTGCACTTGGGGAGATAAATGTACTAGGAGACCTTACAAGCTGCCATCATGATCAATGGTAATCTTTGCCATTAAGGATCAAATCCATAATTGCATCTGTAACAAAGCACTTTGTCCATGTTCCCTGGTTCCGTAGCACTCATGTTTGCCACTGCATCATGCACTTTGGCATCTAGCCAGTCTCTCTCCTTGGCTAGGTCAACGGCACCAGCAGGTTTCCTTCTAAGAGGACCCATCAGGTGCAACCTCCAAGCCCTTTCCTCCAGCTACGCCTCTGCTCTTGTAGGAGGGAAGAAGGTGGGAAGGAGGGGGGAAAGCAGCAGTTCCCTAAGGGATCATCCTAAAAGTATGAAGCTGGAGGGACTGAATAAATGTAGAACTATGCAGCACCAATAAATACAAATTAAACTCATAACAAGAAGTGAAATATTAGGGCCAAGGTGACATTTGGACTGGAGGTTCAGCCAAGCTTTGCTTTAAATATTTTATTGCTGCAGATAAAGAAAGAGCTTATCCAACACGTTTCACTCTCTCTCACTCTCTCTTCTCTCCCTATCAACCAAAGGGGAAAAGGAAAAAAAAATCTTAACCAGCTTTGGTTGTATTTGAGCTAGACTTCAAAGTTTCACAAAAATAAACAGTTTTAAGGGGAGGAATGCACACTTGTAAAGGGAAAAAATGCACTTTGAAGCCAGCTAGGGACTGCATGCTTTACGCAGAGATCCCCAGCATCCTCCTGGAGCAGACAAGTGGTGTCCCCCTCCCGTCCAAGCAGCCTCTCCTCCCCGTGCAGGGGTCTGCCCAGCAGCAGCATGGTCCTTCGGAGGGATGTCAGGGTGGAAGGAGCCAGTGCTTTGTTCTCTTCTCCTTCCTCCTGCTATGCCCCTGTTGTTTTCTGCTCTGATTGAAAGTTTCATGCGCCTGTAGCCATCACTGAGATCTGAGTGTGCACAGCACCTAGCACAGCATCAGTCCTGGCTTAGGATGAGGGCTTTTTGGGGTTGACTGCTGCAATGCCAAAAATCTGTATGAGTCGATGCGGTCTATAATTTAAACTTGGGAAAAGAGAAGAAAAGTTTGTCTGCCTTCTGCTCTGAAGTCGCACGGGGTAATGGACAGTTGGGGGACTGTTATTATGGGGGTACTGCACCACACTGTCTGTAGGGCAAGCAAGATGCTTAAGCCTCTGGGTTTTTCTGTCCCACACCAGCCATTGATGATGGAAGAGAAAGGGGGAGCATCCTTCATGTTTTAATCCCTTAATTCCTTCTCTCTCTTGTCTCCACAGCACAAAGCCCCACTGCAGCAGACCCCTTGCAGCAAGCCTACGCTGGAGTGCAGCAGTACGCAGGTCGTTAGTATTAACACTTTCTCCCAGTAAACCTTTCTCTTCTCTAAAGCCTTTAATCTCTGAACACACCTAAGGGGGATGGGGCAAGGGAGGTGTTTTTGCTGAGACAGGGACACCAGGGCCATGGATCCTCAGATTAAATTCACGCTACTCATGAAAACAAACAATGACCCAGGGTCTTCTCCCCCAAAGGGGGTGATCTTCAACCATAAAACACCAGGGAAAGGCTCCCACTGACCTGCACTTTGGTGCAGCTTCATTGACAGAACCAGTTTGGGTCTCCTTAGCACAGTGAACAAGTAGAAAATCAGGACACTTGCTCTGGGGGATGCTTTCTGTAGAAAAAAAAAAAAAAAAAAAAAAAAAAAAAGAGTGTTTCCTGAGTGCTGTAATGAGCAGGGTAGATGGACTGCCAGAACCTGCTGTTCCTGGCAGGATTTGGGATGTCTGCACATCCCCATGTTGTGGGGTACACAGGTTGGCCATGCATAAGACACCTCAGCACTGGCTACCTCTGGTGTGGCTGGAGGAGCAGCTGCTGAACCCAAGGCTACCACACACACCCCAAAAGCTATCATCTCTGGGGTCAGCCTCACTACCCCACTGGCCGTATCCCAGCTAGTTAGTCTGAGGCCTGCTGTACTTCTGGTTCCTCAGCAGCTTCTTCACAACTTCCAGTGGGTCAGCTTCTGCTGACACTCACGTTGCCCTGTACGCGGAGCTGCTCCTTTGCGGCTGATGGACTGACACCAGCCAAAGTGACCTGGTGCAGATCATGACCCTGCCGTGTTCAGCCTCCCCTTGCGAGGTGTCCATGGCCAACGTTGCGAGGAAGCTGCCACCCCAAAGTCATTATTTCCTGTGGTAACTGGAGCAATCATGGGCTCCCGCTGAGGAATGGCTATTATCTCATGTCAGCGCTGTATCTGGAAACTTAATTTAATTCTCCATGTAGGGCTTCATTTGCCGGTGTTTTAGTTATTGTCATTTATTGCTTGTGAGGTTTGATAGATGGGAAGCAGCTCAACCCTTTGAGCTGTTAATTAACCCCTCTGCACACACATGGCCCCTATCCCCCTCTCTCTGGGCTCACAGGCGACCCGTACTCTGTATTTTTAGCAGCAAGGCACATCATCTACCATCTGTGGTACTGAATGGCTCCCCTTGTCTGCATGGTGGGGGAGCTGAGGTGGGGAAAATTGTTTAATTGCCGCACACTGTTTCCACTGTGTCTGCGTGAAAGAGAAAGTGTCTGCAGACATGAAAGGAAATATATATCTGAGAGTGTATGCACGAGTGTACCTATACGGGGTGTGTGCATATGAAGGTTACAGTAAGAGAGAGGAAATACACGTGTGAACTGTTACCATGAGCATGTGAAATAATCAGAGTGCAGAAGAGATTACACAAGGAAACGCACATGGGTGCTGCACGTGACTGCCAGCACGGGCATCAATGTGCTGAGCTCGTCAATGAGGATGCATGTAATACCAACAGGGATGGTTACACATCTCTGGTGGGGGAGATCTCAGTGGAGACCCCCATTTAGACGACGTGGTTGTCCTCAGTGCTACTGTTAGGATGTTGAAGGGAGGTTGGGTCTTCAGGGCCAAGTGCAACCACCCAGAGCACCGCTGTGATGTTTTACTGCACCTCAGGCAGTACAAGGCTAAAATCCAGAGAGAAAGCCCACCTCCAGCTTGGTGTGATTGTTGACGTAAAAGCTCCATGCTTCCCAGCACTGAAATCTGTCCTTCTTTCTTCTCTCCCTTTCTCTCCCCCATAGCTGCTTATCCTGCTGCTTATGGCCAGATTAGCCAAGCGTTCCCACAGCCGCCTCCCATGATCCCACAGCAACAGAGAGAAGGTGAGTGAAGGGTCTGTTCTCCTTGCTGGACCCAGCATGCCATCCCCACCACATTGGTTCCCCTGCTCACACACCTAGAGAGCATCCATTAAATGCCCCATTGCTTTGAATCCCTGGTCCACTGAGTCTTTTCTCAATTCCCATATGTGGCATCATTGGCACTAACTATAATACGCGTGAACATCTTTGTGGGGAATAGCTGCTGAGATCTGTCTTCTCAGCCCTCAGGGACGGGAGCATGCTGATATGCATGGGCCATGGAAAGACCTGGTAGCAATGTAGGCAATAACATCCAGTGGGGGTTGTTAAAGACAGCCAACAAGAATGTGGAACAAAACCACACTTGCATTAGAATAAAGAATTTAATATGAAACAAAGCACTGGTGGCCCTTCATTAGAAGCCAGTGATGTCATTTCAGACACCTACTGTTTAGTGGAGCTGATAGAGTCCTTTCAGCTTCCCTTAATAACCAGGAAACAGAAATCATCCCTTTTAGAGCATATTATCTGTACCAGGATGAGATGAATCATATAGCAATGGTACCTATTTCTTTACATTGACTGCGAGAGGAGCCTGGCTTATGTAGTCTATAGGACAGGTTGCACTGGAGACATGAAAAGTAAGGAGAAGTGAATCTCCCATTATTGCATGTAAATGTTTTGGGAGATATCCATGTCATGTAATGCTTTGCACCCAAAGGCTTGCCTGAACGAGGAGAGGAGTCCCTCATGTTTCCTTTACAATCAGCGGGGAACTGTGGGATCCTCAGAGGAAACACACTCAGGTAATCCCAACTGTCCTCCAGGGAGTCCACTGCTCTTGCTCGACTACAAGAGGAGACTGCTTGCCTAAGTGAGGCGTTTAAGTCAGTTGCTTCCGCCTAGTGTAGAGATCCTCGTTTTAAAAAATGAATTTCTGCTTTTATCCTCTATTAGGTCACTAATTTGGATATGTTCTATGTTATATGTGCTATTATATATATATTATGACATTTAATATTTTAATATGGTGTAACAGTCAGAGTGAAATGAATCAAGATTATACTATCAAACTGAAACATTCTGATAGCCTAGAACTACTTTGAGGGAGAAATCTCATTTTGTGAGAAAATTAGAAATGTTGGCATTTCGATCTAATTTGGAATTAATTTTTTTCCGATGTCAGAATTTCCTGGGGAACACAACTTCCAGCTCCTGATTAGCTCTAGTACATGTCCCTGCTGTGAGAACAGATGCACAGACCTAACGTATCATTACAGAGATGTTTCCCCCATGCTGAAGGACTTTGCTTTTTATTACTTACTGGGGCTAGATTAAGCACAGGACAAAATGGCGAGCAGATCTTTGCTTAGCATAGCATTGTGCCAGGAACAATCAGAAGCAAGGGATAGCTGTTGTGCACACCCTGAACACCCACTGCCCAAAGACCCCTGAGTTTGCCAGGCACAGTGTGTCTTTGTGGGTTGAGGGTGAGTGTCACCCAGTGGACAAGTTATCTTATAACTCCTTGCTCCTTTCCATGAGCAGCTGGTATTGAGGATGGCTGAGGACCAGATATATGAGACGAACCCCTGGTCCAATGCAGGTTGCCATTCTCAGTGTCCTTCGTTCTCCTGTAGCATTTAGCTCCTATGGATTTCTCTGCCGTTTGCTAGAGGGAGAATCTCTAAGGCACAACATTATTTTAAGCAGAGAGTGAAGACCTGTAAGCCTCTCTAACCTTAAACAGGAAGATGGAGTAAGAGGGAACTCTAATAATAACAATGCTTGGTGCTGAAAAGAGTGCTTTATGTTTGCAAGGATGTGCACAAACATTGATTTGTTAATGAACCAGCCCTACCACAACAATAACATCAATGATCACATTGTTAATAATGATACTAACTCTTAGCTCCTGGATCCTGCTTGGATAACAAGCCCAGAGCTGCTTGGCTGCTGCATCATTCCTGTAGAGATAAGTCATTGCTTCCACATGAATGCTGAGGCTGCTGGCATTGGATGGGGTGCATAGGGTGGAACAGATCCAAAACGATCAAAGGTAAAGATGACAACGATCAAAGGTAGAGTCTTCATTCAGACCATGTCAACCAGGCAAAATGTGGGGGTAATTTCAAATTTGTATGGTATTACTCATCTTGATGTAGTTTCTGAAACTCAGAAATACACATTAAAATAAAGTGATGCAGGTTTGTGACTCCTGCACTCAAATATGCTGAGGGCTTGAATAGCAAATAGATGCAGAGCAGGCCATGAAGTTACAGCCTCTGAGTGTTTGCTGTAGAGGTGAGGTGTGTATCCCACTTACTGTGCATCCAACCATAAGGTTGCCTGCAGACTTCATGCAACCTTATGGCACAGCCTGTTTTTAGTTACTGTTGGAAGAGTTCTGTGGTCATAGGCTCTCCTTACGACACTGATTCACAGTGCTGGGGATGCGATCACAGACAGCTAGCTGATCTCAGCCCAGGGATGTGGAGTTTACTCATGTAGACAGTGGACACCCAGGATAGACTGGGATGGCTGCTGTCCCCAAGTTAAGTGATTATGAGCAATCTGGAAGGTGAGGAGCCTGGGCAGAGCAATGACTTAGCTGCTCAGTTCCAACCAAGCCAAATCAACAAGGACCCACAGCAGATCTCTTTGCCATGTGTTCCAGTGTTCACACGTACAAGCATTTCCATTATCCAACATGGTTTGCCTGTAATATAAAAACTATTCATAAACTGTGTGTTTCTTACAGCTTTTCTTTCCCTTTGTCTGAAGCAAGACTATCTGTGCTTCTAGTGTATTAATGAGCAGAAATATCTATTGCTTAAAGCAATAAAGCCAAAATCCATGGTAGGTGTCAGGGTAGAAATGAACCTTGATTCTCTTTTCATAAAGTGTCGCAAGGGTTAGATTTTGAGCTGACTTACAGCCCTTTTGTAAACCAAAGTGAAGTGCTTAGTAAAGAATTTTAGTACTGTATTCAGCCCCGAACTGCCAAGTTTACTGATCTCCAATAATCCATTAACTCAGTCCAAAACAAGACCTTTCTCTTGACGGTTAGAGTTTTCACTGAGGTTTTGCCATACCAACAGGGATGTTGCTCCAGTGATCCTGATCCCTTGGACATATCCTTGCCTGTGTGCACTGAGAACTACTTAGCTCTTCATAGCATTCTGAGCTGAACAAATCTTGAACTCAGTTTCTCAAAAATATACAGACATGTACAAAACAGTGGCCATACACAAAACTGCGTGGTCTACCATGAACTGCCTAGATAAGCATGACTAGGAATAAAGGAAAAATGAGATAGAAGGGCTGAGAGAGAAAGAGTGAGAGTTTGTCTTGTGAATTCTTTACCAGGGAGTCTAACTGTGATAGGTAACTTACGGATGGATGGATTTAACAAGAAATTGCTTCTAATAGCAGAATTTTCATGTGTGAGAATGATAAAACAAATCAAACTACCCCAGGTTGTTTCTCAGTAGCAGGTGGAGTTTTCAGCATCAGAAATTAGCAAAAATCTTCTGTATATGGGAACTGAGTGAGTTTGGCCTTGAATATCTGAGTCGGTATGGGAAGCCACAGCATGGGTTTCACAGCCACATTTCAGAGTAGAAATGGGCTTTGAGGATGGTCTCTGCTCTTTCACCTCCTCCTGGTCTCTTCCTTTCAGTCTCCAAGCACTGTGAGTGAGACAAAGCTGAGCTCAAGGTGAGCTAAGGGTTGTTTTTTCCTTGAGCCCAATCTCTAAGCCTGGTGTAGATGAAATTGCATGCCTTCTGATCTGCCTTATGCCTTAGTAGGTGTTTCTCAGCACATGCAGGCAGAATCCCTGCTCGTGCACAACACATCCAAGACCCCAGGAAATGCAGCTGGCATTTTTGAAAGAATTTGCCAGTTTTGCAGAGCAAACTGCTGGCTCTGGTGATGTCAGTGGGAATTTTGCCACTAATTGCAGCAAAGCCAAGATTTTACCCATTCTGTAATAATGTAGATCTCAAATCCCACAGCAGAAGTGCTCTGGGGCACGTTCAAACGAAGAAATGAAATTTTCCCTGCTATTCTGGACCATGGTCTTCTCCTGGGCAGAATTTTCTCAACCCTAACAGAGACCTAAGGGGGTCGGTGTTTGTTTAACACTTTCAGACTGTTTCATATCTAGCTTACTATGCCAATAACTGCACATTGCATCTAACTGGACTGCAGCAAGGACTGGGGAAGAGCTAGTTGCTTAGTTGGGAGACTAAGGAAAAGGCAGACAGGAGGTGAAAGGAAGAATGAAAAGCTTGGCATGAAATAGGGGAACCTGATTGTGGGCCACTGAGGTTCAAAAGTAATTTAGTTAAGCAGATGACCGGGTGCCTAATTAGTTAATTATCCCACCATCCCACTATCCCCCCCCATTTGGAAGAAACCCTGTCACCATCCTGATGACCTCTAGGAAATGCACAAGATGCAAAGGATCAGCTGTTCCTTCATGACAGTCCTTTTAGCAAATTAGTGGGGAAAATTGTGCTTAGCAAATATTCATTAGGGCTTCATTTTCCATTAATCCAAAAGGAAATGTGGAGAGCCTGTGACTTCAATCACGCTGAGGCCCAGGAATTTTAATGAGCTTTAAATGGGCATCTGTCAGAATCCTGACTTCGCCGTACTTCTCCTGCCAGCCGGGGGGATGAGTAATGGCTAATAAAAGGTGGGAGCATCTAGGCGAACTCCTCTCCCTAACAGGAAAGGCAAAGTTGTAATTTGCTGTGTTATGACACCGTAATTATGCCCTGATGAAGAAAAGGAGAGTATTAAGAAACCCTTTACTTCCCTACACTGTGCCCCAGCTGCAGATGGGGGAAAGTTGGCTCAGTCAGGTCACAGGGTTGTGGGCACAAGGACTGGGTGGAAGGACGACACCCTATTTCTCTCTGTCCTCTTACTGTCACAACAAGGAGCATGCACTAATTCCCCTTTATCTTGACCCCCCTGAGCAAACCAGAGCTGGAGTTATCTGTGGAGGTCAGTGCAGAGCTGGGCAGCAGCTGGAAGTACCCTTCGAAATAATCCCTAGAAAAAAAAACACAATCCCAGCCTCCTGAAACTATACAGGTTTCTGCTGGTGGACACTGCAAGGGGTTTAAATGTGTTGGGTTTTGTTTGTTTGTTTGTTTTGTTTGTTTGTTTTCCAACAAAACCACTTGGACACAAATGTTCCCTCTGGATTTTCACTCAAAGTATTTATGCACAATACTTTAAAATAAAAGTCACATTGTTAAGCTTCGTTCTAAGCCAGAGGCAGATTCTCCCTCTTCTACCCCAAAATTCAATTCCAACAGAACATTTTCTGAGTCTGAACTTTAGCAAAACTGCATATTCCAATGAAAGACTCCTCTCTGGATATTTTTCCAAGTACCCTCTGAAGTCTGTAACCCTTTGAAGTTTGTTACAGCACTGAGGCAAAAAAAAAAAAAAAAAAAAAAAAAAAAAAAAAAAGGCAATTTCTGTCCTGAAGTCTAGTATTTTGGATTTGAATCCATCTATCATCTCTTTTGAAGAACCCTGTAGAACTGGGGGACGTGACCAAACTGCCTGGATTTGGGGGAGTCTTTGGGCTGAGTCAAGCTGGGGAGGCTGAATATAAAATTCTAAAACCAAAATAAGCCTGGGGGTTTCTGCATCTCTTTCTGCTTGTTATCACAGTCCTCCCACAGACATGAGAAAGATAATGAAACTTCTGCGTGCAGACACTGAGAAGAGGCAAGGGTTAGTGGCGGTCACCCAATACTCTACAGATTAAATGACATTATGGAGAGCAAAGGAAAACTGATCTGCATCTTCTTTTTGCTCTTATTACTCCTTTCCATCCTTCCGTGGCCACATGTGCTCCTGCGTTCCTCTGTCTCTAGGTTTTATCCAGGTGTTTGTCCTGGGAAGGTTAGCGCAGCCTCTGGGTGGCTTTCTGAACTCCTGGTCTTCTGCCTTCTTTGCTCCTCTGAAAGTGTTTTGAAGACCAATATAGGAGAATAGGGAAGGGTCATTAGGATAGATGCCATGTTGCTAGACACATACCTTTTTCAAAAGAGGATGAAACGGTAACAATAAACAGATGATCCAAGAAAACCTGTGAGAATACATCGCACAGCCACTCTTTCCCAGCTGAAGAAAGTCAGACATGCAGAGGAACAAAGGAAGCCCTTTCTCCAAGACCCAATAATGCAGTCTGGGCTCTGCAGACTGCTTCCTTGCAGTGATCCCTCAGCTGTCAGAGAGAGGGGACACCAAACTAAACCTCCACCATGTGCTTCTCGTATCCTATTAATTTCCATTCATGGCTCTTGTTTTCTCTTGACAGGACCAGAGGGCTGTAACCTGTTTATCTACCATCTGCCCCAGGAGTTTGGGGATGCTGAGCTGATGCAGATGTTCCTGCCTTTCGGTAATGTCATCTCCTCGAAAGTGTTTGTGGATCGGGCGACAAACCAAAGTAAATGCTTTGGTGGGTAAAGATAACAAAACAATTAGATTCATCCAGGAAAGGGCTTTCTCTAAATACTTTACCTTTCAAACTGCTTTCTCTCTGCTTAAGCTTTATGATTTCTCTCAATTTACTCCTGTCGATACTTTCCCCCTTCCCTCTTTCTCTCCTAATTGTCTCATGCTCAGAATTGTGTATGCTGCTTAGAAGTGAAGGTTTGGCATCCCACTGGCAGCTGGGTGCTGCAGTTGCTGCTGGTGGGGTGGAAAATGTCCCCTCTTGGAAAGGGAGGTGGGGAGGGCACAGAAATGACTAAAGCACCTAGAGCAAAATGGAGGAGGCTGTAGATGAGAGTAGATGAACTGCTGATGGGTTCAGCAGTGGGAGTTTCTGTACCCCGGGGAAATAAAAAACAGGCTGTGGAGTTGAAGGGAGGACAGAGCTTGAGGGACAGCTCTCCAGCAGGTGTGATGCATTAAAATGCAAAGGGCCAAGGCCTGAACACCATTAGCTGAAAGCCTGGTCTTCTGCAGGGATGGCTGCTCAGCAGACTGCAGGCAGCCGTGCTCTGAGCCCGCCAGACCCGAGCCAGCACCACAGAACGTACAAATAGCTCCAGCTAACCCTGTGCCTTAGCCAACAAGCCATGCTAAGAGGCTGGGTCTGAAAGCAACAGCTCCAGGCCCAACTCCACCAGCTAGAGCACAAGCAGGGCACAGCCTCAGCTGCATGTGGGCCACCAGGCAGGGACACCCCTAGGTGCACCCACAAAGGAAGGGCTCAGCCTGCCATCAGGGGTGTGCTGATGTCTGCATGATGTCTCAGTGGGATCCTGCTGTTTGCAAAGGTGCTACTGTGAAAGGTCCCTTTTGGCAGCCCCAGGAAGGTCCCATCCCACCTGGTGGATGGTGGATCTCCTCTTACCCACCACTGGAATGTGAGGTTTCTGGTTCTCCACCACCCACTGCTCTATGCAAAATTTTTGTGAGAATTGCAACAGGACAAACTATTGCTTTTCTTTTCCTGTTACTTGCAGCTGATCTGGACTCTGTCTCTCAGGCAAACTTCCAGAGTTAAGACTTGTTGGAGTTTCATTTAATTTTAAAGTCACCCTCAGTCTCTACACTATACTTCCCTCCCATGTTGCCTTCCCCATTCCCCTCCCGGACAGCCCACCTCCCAAAACTCTTACCTCATTCCTTGCTAGCTATGGTGCATGACAGACAGTACTTCCAGGAGTTTTGTGCCCCTTCTCTGTGCACAGTTCCTCCTGCCCACCCACAGAGGGTCTGAACAGGCTGCTTTTTGATTGAAAAAACCTTGCCCCCTAGTGTGAGGGGACACAGCAATCCCTTCACCACTAGTGAGGGGATTGCTGCATGCTCAAGCACTAGAGAACAAAAGAGTTGGTTAAGAACAAGTTGGGAAGTTCATATGAGAAATTTAGAGCATTAACCATATAAAAGCTCATAACAGAACGAGCAGGCCAGCACAGCTCTAGGTGACATTGAACACTAATGCTCCAAGGATATCAACAGGTTAGAAGTAGACCCTAGGCAATGAAATTGCTATTGCTACCATAAATAATATTTAGAGGAGTACTGAGCCTGTCTCCTTTAAACAAGCAAGGGGAAGGGGCAAAGGTAAATAGAGAAGAAGCAAGGTGAGAGCCAAGGCTAGTAAGGGAGAGTGTCTTCTGGACGGAGATTCACCTCATATCCTCCTATCTCAAAGGTTGTCTGGCTACAAGGCTTAATGAGGGTAATAATACATACCTAGCTTGTGGGGCAGGGTTGTGGGGCTGGCTTTGTTGCTGTTTCCAAGGTACTGTGAGGTTGTGGCTGATGGCTGAGCAGGGCTTGAGGGATCTTAGCAGAAATTTTTCTTAATTGTGAATCTTACTGGAAGAACCTAAACCACAACTTGTTTGATGCAGTAACCTCCAGCACCAATGGTAGGGTGTTCCAGCATGAAAGCAGGAAAGTGGAAACTCAGGCAAGCAAAAGCAGGAATTAGAGATTGCTGGTGGACTTTACTCACCTTATATTAGCTTCTGAGACAGCAATATCCAGTCAGGTTTGGGTTCCAGGCACCAAGCCCCAGTTTTCTCTGACTTTAGCTAAGTTTCCCATGGAGCTGAGTGCCTGATGTGACTGTTGGTTTCAGACACTTACACTGCCATGTGCACCTCCTTCAGAAAGACAGAAATAGCAGACATACAGGTAGCTAATTATCACAAGTATGTCACACTGCTCTTCAAAACCTCCCATCGCGCTGACCTTCAACTTTAGAGCAATGTAGAAATGTGGACGTTATTACAGATAATCAGGCCTTTCATTTGTTGTGCTAAGTCCACTGAAGTTGGAGCTGATTATAATTCTTTGTTCAGAAACTTTGCTTTTTTTAAAAAAAGGAAAGATTACTTTTTCCTAAAGGAAAAGAAGGATTTTTGTTAACTTTGAAAGAAAGAAAACTCTTTCCTTTTCTGCTTAAGCATTTCCCCAAACTCAACATATAAAAACATAGCATTTGCATTCTGTTTCACTTTTTTTTTTTAACCAGCCAGAGCTCTCCAACTGGTAGCCTGGGGGGACAATTCTGTCTGGCCCCAGAAAGATATTCCACCATTATATGACCTTTTAAAATGTATCTGCTATGCAGATCCCAAGTAAATTGCTATAACAGAGTCTAGCCCGAGGTTGTCGAGAAATTGTCAAGAAGTCCTGCTTTAGACAAACTTAAAAAATTCCATGGAGAAAAATGTCACTATGTTTTTCTTCCATGGGAAAAGAAAATACTTCATTTGCTGCTCTTTTCTTACTATTGAACTACCAATAAGTAGCCACCTCTGCTCCCCCCACCTCCCCCCCCCCGAAAAAAAAAAAAAAAAAAAAAAAAAAAAAACAAACTTTTATTCCTTTGTGTTCATCTCTGAACCTCCCCTGCACTTCCAGCACAAAGATGGGTTCATTATCTCCTTTGGCCACTGCTGTCAGGGTTGTGTAGGGGCAGCAGCCATGGGAGAAAATGAGACCAGCCACAAGCCTTGTTCCCAGTTTCTCAGGGCCCGCCATCCTACAGAGACTCATTAACACCTGTGTGTTGAAGAAACCACACTGCAGTTACGAAGCCTTGGGCTTTCTCAGTTCAGAGGCTGCCTCCTGGTTTGACAATGAGCAGCGCAGAACGCAGACTACAGCAAACACCAGTCTTGTGCAAAAAGTGTGAAAGTGGTCAAAATAGGCACTTGGTAAAATGTTGTTTACTGTAGCAGGTCTGCTTGATGCAGTGTGTAAGACTGCCTTAGAACAACCCTGAGCTCACTGAGAAACAGTCATTGAAGTTGGGAGGCCTGGGACTTTCCTCTTTCTGCATGCATCCAGCCTAGACCCAAACCCTCCCTTTTCTCCTACAATTTTTCAGACCCTTGGCTTTTATTTTTCCCCCTATCCTAATGCAGCCGAAATACATCCCAGTACAGACCACACATCTTTCTCCTTTACACTCACCACCACCCTGTCTATCCCCATTGCCTGAGCCTCCATCACACGGACCACACCAGCATCTCCTTGAGATTCTCCTCCGGTACTGCCCTTTCCACCCTCTTGGATTCAGAGTTATTCATTTCACTTTCACAGCCCTTCACAATTCTGTCTGTCTTTCTCCTGTCCCTAGCTCTTCACTCAGTGCCCAATCTGTAGCCTCTTCCCATCCACTTCTTTTACACTTAGCACGTTTCTCCTCACTGGGCCTTGCTGTCCTTTCCTAGTGAAATGGCAGGGCCACCACAGGAGTTCTCTCACCTGAGGAAAAATTACACTTAATAAAGCTTTTCTTAAAGACAGCAACTCCCATTCTCACAGCAGGCTGACCTGGGGTGTCTTGAACAGAGGCATGATGTGTCACAGCCTAACCATCAGCTTCTGCAGGGCCCTGGGTCTACATTTTGTCTCTGTGCAAGGCATGCACTTCCCACTGCATGTGTGTAAGCTCATGTGTATATATACTGAATGCCAGAGGACGTGCAATATATCCATATGCTGATCACAATGGTTCTATTGAAAACTTCCCTCTCAGATAAGCAGAGAATTGTATTGTGACCAGTTTGTGTACAAGGCAAAAAGAAAAGTTGATTAAAATGATGGCATTAAAGCTGCTAAGGCAAGTAGTCAATGTGAGAAGAGCTGCTCTTCATGCTGCCCACACAAGGTTAATTCTCCCTCTGTAGGGTAGGGTGATGCTACTATGCAGTTGTAATTTCAGCAGCACTCAGTGTTGTCACACGGAACACACTTTAAGAATGCGTTTGAAGACGTTAAACTAGTGAAATACAAAGACAACCATGTTCTAAGAAAATGTTTTAACAGAGAAGAGAAAGAAAAGGATAGGTTTGGGCAATATTAATTAGGAAGACATGACAGAAATTAGAAAAATGAGGACGTGGATGGAACAGCAGAGGCCAAATGATTACCCCAAGGTGTCAGATAAGATGTAGATAAATTAAAGCCAGAGGAATTGCTGTACTGGTGCACTTGGAAATTCATTCCTCCAGCCTCCAGTTTCCAAAAGCAGCAAGCACCTGGATGTGCTAGCTCTGCATGACACTGAGCAGTGGGCATTGCAAGGGCAGCTCTGCACCACGTAGAGTCCACACAAATGTTGCTGATGGACCCCCCAGTTTGGCAAAACAACTAATCTACTTTGAAAATGCCAAAAGAGAGAAGAAAACACCACTTGATGAGGGTCATAGTAGTTAATTACCCTCACCATGAAATATTTATATTCCCTACTCAACTTTTTCTGGCTCCTATCTTGTGAGCCAAGGGACTGAGATTAAAGGTGAGAAAAGCGGTGAGGAATGAGGACCAGACACAGGAGGGGATGAAGCTCAGGAGAAGGGCTGAGACATAGGTAGAGCTTGTGTTGTGTTATTAAAAACACATTGCGGCAGTTTGAGACTGCATGGTGGTGGCAGAAAGGAGGGGTGGGAGATGCAAGGCAGCAGGCAGGTCATGGCAGTC